TATGGCACATCACAACCAAGTTCTCTGATAAACTACCACGGACTGTTTATGAGGAATATTGGAAAGATTTTAAGGAAACCATCTAGGAGATTGACAATATAGATGAATTTGAAGAAAAATGGCATGCAATTGTTACAAAATCTGGTTTGACTAACCATCCATGGCTGAGTTCAGTTTTTGATTTGCGAAAATCATGGGTTCCAGCCTATGTAAAACATATTTTTGCTGCTGAAATGTCAAGCAGTCAAAGAGCAGAAGGCTCTCATGCATTTTTCAAGCAATATATATCAAGGAGAAATTCATTAATGGATTTCATAACACGATTTCAAAGGGCACTTTCCCATCAACGTCAAAATGAGTTACTTGCTGATCACATTGATGCATTTGAAAAGCCTCAATGTGCTTTAATGGATAAACAAATGGCTGAAATATACACAAAGGCAATGTTTCAAAGGTTTGAACATGAGCTAATGCAAAGTTTACCGTGTTTTATGGAATTGAAAATGGATGACGCTTCCAAAGCTGTCTATAAAGTGAGTGAAAGGAAAAGGGGGAAAACAATAGTGAAAGAAGTTGTATATGATAAATATTCCGATCAATGGTCATGTAGTTGTAAAGGATTTGAACTTATTGGAATTCTTTGTTGCCATGCGCTGGCATTGTTAAAAAGGGAGCAAATTGAATATCTGCCCAATAAATACATTTTGAATAGATGGAAGAAAACTGCAAAATCTGGACTTGTATCAGATTCAAATGGCAATGAAATTAAAGATTGTGAGAACAATTCTCTCCTAATAAAACGAAGTAGAATGTCCAGACTTGCTTCAGATGTAATTGAGCATGCCTTAATGTCCGAAGAAGGTTATGAGCTATTGTCGAATAATCTAAACGATACGCGGGTGACGTTGAAGTTATTGAATGATGGGGTTGGTCCTAGTGAAGTTGGAGGGTCCAGCTCCCAAACACAATATTTGAAGGACCCTAAAAGAGTAACGCACAAAGGAAGCTCGAAACGAGTAAAGGGAGCAAAGGAAACGAGAATGGAGCGAGGGATCCGACATTGTCAGCAATGTGGACAAACTAGTCATGATATAAGACGATGTCCAAGAATGGCGAACACACCGTAAGATTGTACAAATATTTATAAATAATAGCTAAAATTCCAAGTGGTTTATTTTATTGTAATATTATGCTTGGTGTTTATGCAGGACATCCCCATCAAACAATGAAGAATCAACTCCGATCAATCTTAGTGACCCGTTATTCGATGAATTTGATAGCATGCACGGACCTACCAAGTGATTTATGTTTTTACTATACGAAGCTCATTTGCCGTCAATATTGGTGAGCTTCAATATGAAGAAATCTTATTATTTTGTGTTGTTTCATTTTGTATCAACTTTTGTGTTTTTTTCCTTGATTGGTTTCGGTTTTCTTTGAAGTTTTTTTGTTTCTCGATTGGTGGTGTTAATTTTTTGGAGCCTTTCTTTCTTGCTTTCTTTTGCCTTTGTATTTTTCTGATGTTAGGTGTTTTAGGATTTTTCTTTCTTTTAAATAATCTCCCTCTTGAGATATTTGACAATTCTTTTTTATGGCAGTTGGACCTAGATTTTTGGCTTATGGAAGATTGTTGTCGTTGAGAACCTTCATCAATTTGGCTTTTTTTATGACAGTTGGACCTATCAACTCTTAATTTTGACAATGCGCATGAAAGGTTGTCACATCCTTTTTTGAGAAAAGACATTATATACATTCGATGTATATTGCGTGTATATTGTTCGTCTATTGCTTGTTATTGCAAGCTTATTAATTGCGTATTGATTGTTCATTGTCTTTGTATAGCCATTTATTGCCTTTTATGATAATACGGGGACAGTACAAGGCAATTGGGGGCAATACTGTGGCAATATAAAGGCAATTACGGGCAATGCAGTGGCAAAATGAAGGCAATTGGAGGCTATATCGTGCCAATATTAGGGCAATATAAGGTTGTACATTGGCAATACAAAAACTCCAATAGTCCACGATTTTGGTGCACGATTTTGTAAACATTGCTATCTGAAGGATACATGAAATTTTGTGATAAGGTTATGGGATTATTTTGTACTAGTTATATGTTGTTGTTTGTATTTGTTCTTCTGCTACTTTTGCTATCTTTCTTTATAATATATGTTTGTGGAATCCCTTAAAGTAAACATATACTGAGAAAAAAAAAATAAGAGTGAAGATATAATCACTCATATAGACAAGGAGAAATATTATGTGATTGGACAATGCTTCTGAATGATGTGTGAGGTTTTTCAGAAAAAAAATACGCCATTATTTTATGTGATTGGACTGATAGAGATACTTTACTGATTCCCCATGCGGTGTCATATTGACAACTTATTGAACACCTTTGACGTGTTCAAAGATTTAGATGCGCGCACCCATGATGACTTCAAACCATTGTTCAATTATTATATATGTAGATTATTATAACAAAACA